GTCCACAGATTGAAGAAAAGTCTTTATCGCCTCAAACAAGCGCCTAGACAGTGGTACGAGAAGTTTGACTCATTCATGGGGGGTCATGAGTACAAGAGAAGTGCTGCAGACTAGTGTGTCTATGTCAGGAAATTTCCCGTTGGAAACTTCATCATACTCCTGCTCTATGTTGATGACATGCTGATTGTTGGACAGGATACCACAGCAATCAGATCAATAAAGAAGGAGTTATCACAGTCCTTTGACATGATGGACCTAGGCCCTGCACAGCAAATGTTGGGCATGCAAATTGTGTGTGACAGGAAAGCCAAGAAGTTGTGGCTATCACAGGAGAAGTACGTTGAACGGGTGATTGTGAAGTTCAACATGAAAGATGCTAAGCTAGTCAGTACTCTGCTGGCTAATCATTTCAAGCTAAGCAAGAGTTCTTATCCCTCCTCTACTAAAGAAAGAGAAGAGATGGAGGCTATTCCCTACTCATGCACTATAGGGAGTTTGATGTATGCAATGGTGTTTACCCGACCAGATATTGCTCATGATGTTGGAGTAGTAACTAGATTTCTTTCCAATCCAGGAAAAGAGCATTGGAAAGTAGTCAAGTGGATTCTGAGGTACCTCAAGGGTACGACAAAAATGTTTTTGTGCTTTAGAGATGCTAAACCAGTCTTGGAAGGCTATACAGATTTCGATATGGTAGGAGATCTTGATGGTAGAAAATCTACATCAGGATTTTTGTTCACTTTCGTAGGGGAAGCTGTGTCTTGGCAGTCCAAGTTACAGAAGTGTGTTGCTTTATCCACAACTGAGGCAAAATATATTACCGCAGCGGAAGCGGGGAAAGAGATGTTGTGGTTACAGCGGTTTCTCCAAGAGTTGGGATTAAAGCAAGAAAAGTCCATGGTACATTGTGATAACCAAAGTGCCATCGACCTGAGCAAAAATTCGATGTACCATTCTCGCACAAAGCACATTGATATTCGGTATCATTGGATACGCAAAGTGATGGAAAAGTAGTTATTGGAACTGATCAAGATCCATACAAATAAGAATCTAGCTGACATACTTACAAAGGTGGTCTTGAGAAACAAACTCGAAATCTGCAGAGACATTGCCAGGATGGACTTCAAGTGAGAAGTCAGTTCTCCATATGGGCATGGAGGGGGAGAATTGTTAGCGTTCAGTCCACTGCCACTCCCAAATGGAGAACCCCACTCTTCCACTCCACCAACCCCACTAGTTGGTGGAAGGGGTTGGTGGCACCCAATAAGCTCCTCTCTCAATTGTGTATAAATTGAGGTGAGGATGAGGGGTTGGATATAGACAAGATAAGAGATTGCAGTGTGTGTGTAATCTGAGAGAAGATTGTAAGAAGTAAGAGTGCTATAGTGTGTAAGTGAGGTGTGAGTGTGTAAACTCCCTCCGGGAAAATTCTATAGTGGATAGCTCTCCGTGGACGTAGGCAATTGCTGAACCACGTAAATATTCTTGTGTTATTGTGTGTGATTGATTTCTGGTGTCCCACAGTCCCAACAAAAAGACCCTTGAGGACCAACCACAAGATCACTATTTCTCAAATGGAATGTGATGGTAGGAAGGTTCTTAAACCCTTTCCCTTTCTTTCTCTCATAGCGAAGGTCTAACCCTCTCATTCCACCATACTTCTTCAAATTCCTCAAAATTTAAAAGTAATTTTCCAATCCCTTTCTCAAGATAGCATAGGCAGGGCTAACAATCCACGAAAATGGAGTACCAGTGTCTATGATACACCCTCTGCTACTATCCTTTCTTAATGTAAACACACTCTCCGTGATGTTAAGCCTTTTTTTGTTTATGCTAATACCATCAAGTTTCAAAATGTAACATTTTCAATGTTGGTAGCATTGCAATGTTGTGACATGTAAATTTGACCGCCTAATTATATTTGCACCGAGCTTAGATACGTTGTAGGCCACTAGCGAGTAAACTTGTTGATTATTGGAAGGCAGTATGAGAATTTACCGTTACTTTGAGAGTCGGTTTGGTTGATAAATGAATGTCGCCCCCATCCTAGGCCCATTACTCCCGCTATTTGATTTGAGTTGTCACCATATGTCGCTTTGCTATTAATTCCACAACTAAAGACAAAGCGGTGGACTGTCTCAGATTGTCTCGTGCTCGAACTGAAAATGAAAGTTTCCCTAGCTAAAATGCCAATTGAGGAGGTATCATCCATGTAACTTATATTGTAGGAACACGCGTTTCCAATGCACTGGTTTGGTAAGCAATACTTGGATTTGTTGCATGGGACAAAAAGATAGGATTGAGAGCGGTTGTTAGTGAAAAGGGGATTTCTTAGAGTGAAGCAGCGACCGTTTGGACCTCTGCAGCCCTCGCAGTGGATCCATATGATATCGCTGCCAATGTCCATGTTCAAGAAGTATGAGGTGTATGACGGTTTTTCTATGAAAGTGTGAATCCCAATTTTCACAATGTACGAGAAATATGATTGAACATGAACTTGTGGACGAATTATTTTTGAATCAGCAATGGAGTGTAAAAGCCTTTGATTATCTCTGTGTAAGTGAGGTTGTGTAAATGTATAGGTGAAAATGGGAAGTCTTTGTGCGAAGCCTGAGTATCAAGCCATTTGCTTTGCTGATTGCACCACCCATTAGCAATAGGCTTGACATGAGGTAGAGAGAAAGCAATGCCAATGTCTTGGCCATAGCTTGTAGTTTCAATAATTGAACTTGATAGTATAAAAAGTAAATTTTGAGGTTGGATTAGAGTGTAGTGTCAAATTTGATGTAGTTAATGTCATGTATATATTATTTATTTATTTTTGTAAGGGTTTAATTCTTTTGTTCTAATCTTGATTGCATATCTTGGATATAATAAAGAAAATTTTGTTACCAAATTAGAAGAATGTTGAATACATGTTTATTAATTGCACCACCCTTGAAGGCTCTTCTGCAGATGCTCAAAATTTATGATCCTCAAAAACAGAGTAAGCCCTGAATCAAAATATAAAGATACACTGGAGGGGTTGGTTTCTTTTCTTTTTTTTCCCTAAAACATCAAACAGAATTTAATGCATTTGGTGGGTTTCCAAGCATAATCTCAAAATAAATTCTAGGTTAGTTCGGATTTAAAGCAAGAGATTTTGTGACATCTAACAATTTTAAGCTAGCTCTTGCTTTGATAGCTACCAAGAAATCCCTGACAATTGGATTAGTTATATGAGATTAAAAAACACACCATTTCACTCATATAATGAACTATGTTGAAGTGAATTTAAAAATTGAGTTTTAATTTTGGTACAATTTTACTTTCTATATACTTGTGGGAGCCGAATATTTGGCAATGCCGGAAAGAACGTACTCTGCAGAACACACTATTCGGCGTTACCCAGCGCGCTCAGGAGGCCGAATACAATAGATAGGCCGGATAAGCGTAAATCCATGGAGCCAAATATGAGAGAGGACAATAAGTAACGAGTAAGCCCTGGCCCCGAGGCCCAGTAAACGAGTATAAATACAGGAACTACAGAGAAAGGTAAGGATCTCTCCTTGTTTAACTTAGAATACAAGTAACCTAGAGCTTGAGACTGACTTGTTCGTCGGAGTGCTAATTCCGACACCCACGTCGGAGTGTTTATTTCCTTTCAGGTGACTATCTGAGGAACCCAAGCGTCTCCCAGGATCCAAAGGGTATTTCCAAAACCATATCCCCACAATTGGCGTCGTCTGTGGGAATACTCGAATACATCCATGGAAGGCGTAACCGAAGATCCTCCGGTAGCCATTGACGAGATTACACAGAGGGATGACCTTACTCTAGCAAATATGCTCGGAAAGGAAACCATTGCTGAAAGACGCACTTTGAACTTTGACTCACCAACGACTTCAGCGCAAGAGACAATGCAAGCAATTATGGAACAAGCAAAGCAGAATGAACAGAGGCTGGAGAATATGATCGCTGAAAATGAACGTCTCCGTCAAGATTTGGCCTTGGAAGTAGCAAAATCCAGAGAAGCCGCGCGCCAAGATCTTGAACGACCTCCAAGGGCAGGTGAACAACGACCTCGAGCCCGACCAAGGGACACCGATAGTGACTCCAACTCATTATCCACGGGGCCCGACAAGAAGGGACGATTCGAAACCTCCAGCTCCTCCGAAAAAAATCTACGAACAAGGAATAACTGCAAGAGAAACAGTTTGAATGAAGAAGATCAGCACGATCCCTTTGTCCGACGGATTGCAAGGGCAATTCTGCCTAACAAGTTCAAAGCTCCGTCATTTACCCTCTACGATGGAAAATCAGACCCCACCGATCACATCCGTCACTACAAGCAAGCCATGACATTGCATGCAGACAATGAGGCCCTCATGTGCCGAATATTCCCCAGCAGCTTGGGACCTCTGGCAGTCAGGTGGTATTACAAACTGGAGCTGGTTTCGGTCAAAAGCTTCCATCAATTACAGAAGTCCTTCAGGGCCAGATTCATCACCAACGAGGTCCAGCCGAAACAAGCAGACTCTCTCTGGGCGATGCAAATTCAACCTAAAGAAACACTGAAAGCGTATTCGGCGCGTTATTGGGAATGATTTAATCTTGTTGACGACGCTTGCAACGACTCCATGGCCATCACCGCCTTCAAAATGGGATTGCAACCAGACAGTGCCCTCCGCAGTTCCTTGACCAGAAGACCTCCCAAAAAGGTCTGGGGGTTGATGAAGAAAGTTGAAGAATACTGCAAGGTAGAGGACGATGCCTTGCGGGTTAAAGCTGGATGCGTATCTAGTAAAACGGCACCCCGAAAAATTGCTCAGCCAATAAGTTCCATACCGCCTCAAAGCCCAGAACCACGGCAGCGGGGTAAACGAGATAAAAGGCGGGATTCTCGCCGATCGAACGATCAGTGCTCTCACCGAATGGATAAACTGCTGCAAGTCGATAGCAGGCGCACGAGACGTACTGACAAAAAATATACAAAACTGACAGAGCCGATCAATGCGGTAATGTCCAAAATCCAACATCTCCCGTTCTTCAAATGGCCGTTGAAAATAGTAGGCCCTCCTAACACACGAAGGCGGGATAAACGCTGCTTGTATCACAAAGATCATGGCCACGAAACTAAAAGTTGCTACGCATTAAAGGATCACCTGGAGAAACTGGTGCAAGATGGTTGGCTTCAACAGTACGTAAGAAAAGTTAACCCAACCAAGGCACTAGCCTTAAGACAAGATTCACCTCCACTTGGCGTGATCCATATGATATATAGCCTGCCAGCACCTCTAACCGTGCACACAAATCAATCGCATCCAGTCCCTCGAGAGCAACATACTCCAACCAAACGGCCCAAAAAAGCTCCGAGTATTGCCTTCAACGATTCTGATCATGTCAGCATGACAATCTCCCACATTGATCTGTTGATCATCAGATTACGCGTAAACCAGTTTACCGTCAAACGTATTCTCGTAGATCCAGGGAGTACGTCGGAGGTTATGTATTATGAGACCCTCATCAAACTCGACTTCAACAAGTCAGATCTGTCTCTGGCGCCTTATCCGTTATTTGGCTTCAACACGAATCCAGAGTACCCGTTGGGGAAGATCACATTACCCGTTCAATCAGGCTCCAGAACAGTCAAGGTTGAATTCTTGGTCGTAAAGCTTCCATCGCCGTATAATGTCATCATGGGCCGAACCTGGTTGCATATCATGCAGGTCGTGCCGAGCACCTATCATCAGCTTATGCGCTTCCCGACAGCCCATGGCGTTGAAGAGATCCATAGCTGCCGGCAGTCAGCATGAACAGTTTTATGAAAGTTCTATCACTGACCCGACTTGTGGGCTTTGATACTTGTATTTAGCTGACTTCTGTAATGAAAAGTCTCATCTTTTTCCATCGCGTAATTCACTTCCCATTGGTGTCAATAAGTCTCCGGATTCGGAGCGCCCGTCGTGGATATCACGATTGGCTCAAATAAGCCTCCGGATTCGAAGCGCCCTTCGGTGCATGACACCTTAGGGCCGATTATGTGATACCCCTGTTCCGTAGTATGCTAATTGGTCCTTAATTTGAGTATGATTATGTGTTTAGCATGATTTTATGTGCCATCATGTGAAAATATATGTGATTTTGAATTTCTATCTGTTCACCGTAGGAATATCTGTTTGACTATTTGCTTTGGAAATTAAATTGAAGGCCTTATCGGCCACAGAACCCGAAATTGATTACGCCATTGTGATTAGCATAATTTTTAGAGCATACGGTGAAATTTAATTGAAAATTGATTCGGGTCGGATTAAATTGATTAAATTAGTGAATTAGTGCTCTATTCTTTGATATTATAATAATATTACAAGAGAGGGGCTTTCAATATGAGCACTACTCAATCAATTACTTCCTTTTGCTTCACTTGGCTGATATACACTCTAAGGGGAGGAGAGGGTCGGCTGTTAGAGAGAGAGAAGGGAGAAAAATCTGTGTTTGACCTTATAGGCTTGGAAATTTGAAGTCCAACTCTAAATTGGACCATAGATTGAAGGAATTGGGCTTCTAGGTAAGCCATTGACTCTTGAATTCATGAATTGAACTTGTAATCATGTAAGCTCAAGGTTTAATTGTGATCAAGGGCATGATTTGAATTGGTTTTGATAAGATATGGTCATGCATGCATAGAATTGCCTTTAAATTGCCATAAGTTGCATAATCTAGCATGTATCATGTCAATTAAGCAAGATTTGAAGTTTGATCATGCATGCAAGCTTGGTTTTGTTGAGCTTTATGAGAATAGGCACTATTTACATCTTTTGAAATGGAATTGGAGCTGAAAGATTGCATGCATGTTTGATTAATGAACTTATATGAGATTTGAAAGCTTGAACCATGAGGTTACAAGAATGTTGATTTGTTTTGAAGAAATATGACCATGATTTTGACTAATTGGCCTCCTAATACTTGTATACTCAAGGTATGTAATATGTTTGCATGTTTGGGAACCAAGATTTTGAGTTTGGAACCTTTGGAGGTCGTTTGGAGCTCAAGAACACAATCTGAAATTTCCAGAATTTTAGTGTCCGCTTGAGCGGGGAAACCGCCGCTTGAGCGTAAATTTCGTGCTCCCAGCACTTTTTGCAGAGTTGGATGTTCGCTCGAGCAGGATATTTCATGCTCGAGCGGGGAGCTTTTGTAGATAGGCCTTCCGCTTGAGCGGCCTAACTCACGCTCAAGCGTAATTTTGAGGTAACCAGTACTTTTGCAAGTCTCTTGGGTCCGCTCGAGCGGGATATTTCACGCTCGAGCGGGGACCCTGTTTTCTAAAATTTTGTTCATGCGTTCTGTGTTTCATTTTCTGTTCTCTTTCACTTGTAAGTACTCTTAGGCATATGTTAAGCATTGTAAATGAGTTAATGAGATAAGAATAAAGCCTAAAGAGGAATATGTGAATTAAGGAACGAGTTGAACTGTTAATGACCCTTTTGTGTTCATGAAATGTGTAGGGTCAAGCTCCAGGGCGAATCCACAAGCCGATCACTGTGAGTAATATCGATATTTGAAAGCTTAACAACGTCTAACTGTTTATTCCCTTATAAGCTTTACGAATTGCTAATTGGGATTGTGGACAAAAGTCTGACATGAACGAGTGAATGGACCGAAGGTCATTTCGATATGAATAAATGCACCTAAGGTCGTTTTGATAGAAATAAATGGACCTAAGGTCGTTTTGACATGAATGAGTGGGTCGAAGGCCGTTTTGACGTGAATGTATGGGTCAAAGGCCGTTTTGACGTAAACGAATGGACCGAAGGTCGTTTTGACGTAAACAAATGGACCAAAGGTCGTTTTGACGTAAACGAATGGATCGAAGGTCGTTTTAATAGAAATGAATGAACCAAAGGTCGTTTTGACGTATATGAATGGACCTAAGGTCGTTTTGACACGAATGAATGGGCCGAAGGCCGTTTTGACAGAAATGAATGGGCCGAAGGCCATTTCGACATAAATGAATGGGCCGAAGGCCGTTTTGACATGAATAAAAGCCTAAATGGGCCAAAGGCCAGAATGTTTGGAACTACAGCCACTTGATTTGAATTTCGTATAGTTATATATCTGTTAAATAGGAGTATAAATTGGGCCCAAGGCCGTTTGGAACATATTGTTCTACATTGTCATGTAACTTCTGTATTTGATTTGATATTATTCACTGGGCTATCGCTCACGCTCATTCATGTGTTTGTAGGTGCGCCAAGAGAAGTCCAAACCCAGTCCCAGTGAAGTATGCCAGGAACAACATGAGTTTTGGAGAGTTAGCCTTGCGTCTCACGCGCGAGACCCATCCTTGCCATTTTGTTATGTATTTATACTTTGTATTGTTGGCAAGGACTTTGTGTCTATCTGCATATAGTTTTGTTATGGGTTGACTCAGCTTGGATGATCGTGTCTGTAAAGGATTTTATGATACCGTATTTTGTTGTGGGTTATTAACGTATATGCGTATGGTTTGTTTTAAAGTGCATATAAACACGGCTCTATGGACAAAGTTTTTAATTATTGCTTCCGTTTGGCCCCTTTACTCTGATGAGTTATGTCTGTTTTGGTTTGAGGCCGTAGGTAATCTCAGGATTACTGGTCGGTTATGTCCTTAACCCATAGGGGCGGGTTCGGGTCATGACAGATTAAGTCTCCGAATTCGGAGCCCCCTTCGGTGCAGAACACGTTGGGGCCGATTAAGTCTTCGGATTCGGAGCGCCCTTCGTAGATATCACGATTGGCTCAAATAAGTCTCCGGATTCGGAGCCCCCTTCGATGCAGAACACGTTGGGGCCGATTAAGTCTCCAAATTCGGAGTGCCCTTCGTGGATATCACGATTGGCTCAAATAAGCCTCCGGATTCGGAGCCCCCTTCGGTGCATAACACCTTAGGGCCGATTAACTCTCCGGATTCGGAGCCCCCTTCGGTGCACAACACGTTGGGGCCGATTAAGTCTCCGGATTTGGAGCCCCTTCCGCAATCATATCCCCATTCGGCTCCTAAAGCTCGCACGCACAGGCTGATTCATTACGTCGGTCGGCCAAGTACCTAAGCTGAGCCGAATCAGACTATAATTGAACGCAATGTCATTCGTCAACTTAGCGAATTGGGCACATCTTATGGACCCCTTATTACATACAAAAATTATTACACAAACTACAAGTCCGCATGAACGAAACAAAATATGCCAATATACGAAATGAGGTGCCTAATTGAATATATAAAAAGGCCCATAATAAGGCGCAAACGTTCAAAATGAAACATTTTATTTGATTAAAACAGTAGTTACATAAACACAACCCACAGTTGAACATTACAATATCCATTTTCAACCTCAAAAGCGAAAAAGGGGAAAAGACGCGTTGGTAAAGCGGCAGCGCCAAATCAACGCCCGTCGCCCGGAAGTCCTCCACGGCTTGCAATGCCTTGAGCCAACTGTGCCCAAGCCCATGACTTGCACATTGCCAAACTTCCCCTGATACCATTGACAATGTCAAGGCAAAGATCCAGGACAAGGAAGGATAAACTCAACGGTCGTTGTCTCTCCTTTCGGGGCGATCTGCTTCGACGACTTGAAGACTCATGCCATCTTTTGGACGCCCTACCTCCTATACGGGTGGGTTCTCTGCTGCGGTCCATTGCAACACCAAGCTCGGCCGAAGTTCGAGTTTCTCTAACACACACCCCCACTTATCTCACCTCACATAACAAGTGATGAGGAATCAAGCGTGTTTATTTGCGCGAGGTGCCCACTCCTTTTATTTTCAATACTGATAGCGATCTCGAGGCCCCAATCCCGAGGCGATTTCATTAACGCTAAACTCCATGAGACGAACGTCGGTCAACATTCACCACTGCCTAGTTATCCAAACGGCTTTTTGAAGCAAATGCACTGGCTGGGCAAGGACAAAATTATCAATCCAAACGGTCAAACATTCAGGCCCCGAGCCGGAACGAATTTTCCGCAGCCACACCACTCACTGGTTTTCGGTTTCCTCAAGCTACAATGATCTAGTTATCTAGACGACGATCACAGATAAATGGCCTAGTTACAAATGGTCCAATTACAATGGCCTCATTCAAGACTAAACGGCTATCACGTATGGGCCGACCTTGCCTATAAACCAGCGTATCACTGGACATTCAACAGATACTCGGGCCAATCAATGCTTATACATTCATTCAAACATATATGCAATAAAACGAAACACGTATATGCCGAATACGAACTGCAACGAAATATTTATAAATAGAACATTTTTATTCAATCAAACAATAAATTACATAGTTTTGAACGTGATCTGCGTTTCAACCTTACAATGAGTATGCTTATACGGCGTCACCCTTATCCTCACTCTTCTCGACTTCAAAAGCAGAAAACGAAAAATGTTTACTCTGGTAGAGTGGCGATGCCGAATCAATGCCCGACGCTCGAAGAACTTCCGCGGCCTGAGATGTCTTGATCCAACCGTGCCTAAATACACAATTTTCACATCGACAAACCTCTTCGGCAAGCTTCTCCTTGGTCTTTCGATTCCAACTTTTCGGCCTTCATGAAAACCTTTTTCATAGGCCCTCCCCTTCGCAGACTCCATTGCGAACATACTCGCCATCTCACGATCGGCGAGCGCAGTATTGATGAGCCGTTGGGTAACCCTTTCTTCCACGATTGGGTTTTCCTGCCTAGCGGGTTGTGCCTGAGCCACCCTGGCCTTCCTTAACTCACGCTCAGCCGCCTTCGCGCGAGCTTTCAAACTTCGAATACGTTCCTCCCTC